AGCAGCCATGACCGTAAAAGGCGTTACAGAAAGAGTGCATAGCCACAGAATCGGAAGGCGAGACTCTCGTCCCCCCGCCCCCGCCACCACTTGATGGCCCTGAGGGCTCTGTTGTCCCTTCTGTACCTTGGTTTCCCTACCTGGTGGATGGAGGCACTGTCAGCCACATACCTAATCTTAAAATGTTCTCGCGTAACCACAATTAAAGACGTAAAAAGAAACAGGTGAAATTAATGTCCGTGCTGTATTTTAACTAACTCGAGACACCTAACATACAGCCATATTCAACAACTAGTCGGTATTTCCACATTAACAGGCTCCTTTACGTTCTCCCCAGAGTCAGACTGTTTCACACGCACAGCCCACCTCCGTGGGGACCAGCGGCCCTCCAGCCGCCGACAGGCACACGTGACTCCCGGGTCTAGCATCTTGCTCAGTCCACAGCCCAGCTGGAGGGCAGGCACTGCCTCGGCTCTCTCTCTTCTCCTGGGAGGGTTTCCTGAGCGTAGACTCTGGGCTGACAAGTCCCACATCCCCCCGGGCAAGGACCCGGAGCCCACGAAGCGGGCAGAGCCCAGGCCTGCCTGGCGCCGGGAGGCCGCTGGCTGCATGGGTGCTGGCTGTCCTCTGCAGCCAGCCAGGCCCCGGGAGAGGACAGCATCCGAGAAGACGGCCTCAGCTCTGCTTCTCCGTGTGATCCAGAGATTCATTCCCTCAACTGGAAACTCCACCACAGCTGGAAAGCAAGCTGGCAGCCAGCGCTCCACACACGTGCGTGCACACACACACACACACACACCCACGGCGCCAGCCCCGGGCCGCCTTCCTCACACACAGGAGGGACCCAAACCCTCCTCTCTCCCCTCGTAGCAGCACCACGGGCAGGAAGCCGCACTGACTTCTCACTCCAGAGATGCGGGCCCCGACTCTGGGCCTGGCCACCCTCTGAGTGGGAGCTCAGCACCTCCACGTTCAAGGGAACAGGTGCTGGCACGGAGGATGCGGGGAGCAGGGGAAACCAGGGGCAGAGAGGGGCGAGGCTTCACCCCGACAGGTGATGGCTGGGAAATCCCGCCTTTCCCCCCTCACTGTGCCTCTCTTCCCCACCCTGCAGCCCAGATGCTGGGTGAGGACAATGACTGTGTTCACTGCAGGCTGTTCTATGCCAAGCCTTTTGCAGGCACCAACTCCCTGCTTGTCCCTGACAACCCTAGGAGGAGAGGATCCCAGGTTCAGAGAGGTGAAGCGACCTGGGCAAGGTCACACAGCCTGTCAGTTGAGCAGCCGGAGTTCTAATTCTTCAGTACGAAGAGGCTGAGCTCTCACCCACCTGCCTCCAGCATTTCCCTGGGATGGCCCAGCACAGCGCTGGCTTTCACCTGTCGTAACCACAGGTCTCACCTGGCACAGATATTTAAAATGCTCCCTGCAGGGGCCGGCGCTGTGGCACAGTAGGTTAATCCTCTGCCTGCAGCGCCAGCATCCCATATGGGCGCCGGTTCTAGTCCCGGCTGCTCCTCTTCCCATCCAGCTCTCTGCTGTGGCCTGGGAAAGCAGTAGAAGATGGCCCAAGTGCTTGGGCCCCTGCACCTGCGTGGGAGACCAGGAAGAAGCTCCTGGCTCCTGGCTTCGGATCAGCATAGCTCTGGCCATTGCAACCATTTGGGGAGTGAACCAGCAGACGGAAGACCTTTCTCTCTGTCTTTCCCTCTCACTGTCTGTAACTCTACCTCTCAAATAAATAAATAAAATATTAAAAATAAATAAATAAAATGCTCCCTGCAGAAGAAGGGACAAATCTTCCCTACATGCAAGAGAATTTGAAATAATCCCCCCAACAAAGGGTGCAGCTTAACTCCCCACTCTTCTCCCTCTTGATGGTGGGCTGCATTTAATGTCTGGATTCCAAAGGATAGAGTACGGAAAGGGGAAATAGTAACTTTACAGCCGAGGAACCGAGCGAGGGATCACGGCTGGTACCACCAGCGGGAAGTCCCGTGGGTGGCAGGTGCCCCTCCATAAGAGTATCCAGGTTTAGACAGAATTATGCGGTCACCTGAGCCCTGCTTCTGCCCTGGTCCGTGTGTGCTTTCATAACAGAACGCTTGAGGCCAGGGACTGTGTAACAGCACAGACACACTGGCTCACAGGTCTGGAGCCTGGGGCAGCTGCAGCCGAGACGCCAGCAGGCGTGGTGTCTGGTGAGGCCACTCTCATCTTCCAAGATGGTGCCTGGCACACTGTGTCCTCCAGTGGGGCAGAAGGCTGGATCCTCTCAAGGCAGAGGGTGGAAGGCCAAGGGGCAAAAGGGGCCAAATTCAGCCTTTAGTAACAGAGGACTCCACCCGTGACAGCACAGCCCTCATGGCCCACTCACCACGCAAAGCTCCTACCCGTTAACGCTGTCACAACGGCAGCCACACAGCCCCAGACCATAGCAGCCCCTAGCCAAGGAGTCTTAAGAGAATCACCCAGACCTACGCTCTCCCTCAATGATGCTAACTGATCAGACATTCACGGCGGTGTAGGGTGTATAAGGGCAGACATAGCGAGACGTGGTGGTCAGACCTCTGGAATCAGAAAGCAAGGGTCCAAGACTCTGGTTCTCCCACTCGCTTGCCAGGTGGCCTTGGGTGTCTCTCATTCTCTCTCTGCACCCCATCTGTCTGTCTAAGGCTTTCAGTGAAGGGTGACCAGGACTCGTGCTCCCTACTGTGGATACTGTGACGGGCCTCCCAGGGTGCCCTCAGGCCTGAAGGATTCTCTCTCCCATCCCCAGCGGCCCAGGGAGCTGTCAGCTGCCAGGGTCTTCCAGGCATTGGCCCTGGCTGAAGAGCGGCATTCCGCCCCAGTGCATGGTGGGTGACCTGCACCCAGTGCAGAGGGCAGAGAGCTCCAGCTCCCGCACCCCAACCTGGGACCACACTGAAGGTCACTTCCACGGCTTAGGCCCTCCTGTGGTTGCTGGGCCTCTGTGGAGACTGCATGGCAGCCCAGAGGCCCCCTCTGCACAATCCTGCTTCCTTCTGCTCCCCCAAGAGCTGATCCTGGGAACGCTCCCCACCCTTGTCCTGTGCACTGATCTCAGTCTCAGAGTCTGCTCCCCAGGGCACTCGCCCCACCGTGGGACTGGGATGCTGGGCCCGTACTCTCTCTCCTAAGCCTCGTTTTTCAAGTCAGAGAAGAAAACTGCTCTGGCCAAGGACAGGCAATGAAGCAATGATGGCGCCATGGATGGGAACATTGAAACTCACAGGAAACAGACCTGGGCACATCACTGAGCTAAGACGGCAGGGCCAGATTTTGGCTCTGGGTCTGCCTAACTCTGAAGACCACGAGCCACCGCGTTCGGCCCAGGCCATTTACAGCCACAGCAGTGCCTTTCACCACTGCCCTGCCGCACCCACTGCTGTCCCTGCAGCTCACCCCAAACTTGCCAAATGAGAACAATAACAGTACTTACCTCTTCCAGAGCTTAGAAAGACGGGCTGAGTTAGTACACATAAAGATCTCAGGGCTGTGGCTGGCACTCAGGGAGCCCTTCATTAAATGGTAGGTTAGCAACAAATCGTGTAAGCAGTGTAACGTTGCAACCACTGTATTCTGAGATCGGTTCTTGCAGCCTAGGGACAGTCTGCCAGGGGTGGACCTTCTCGGCTCTCTAAGGGAGTCAGGCTGGATCTGAGCCCCACCGGGTAGGAACTGCATGGACAGCAGGAAGAGGGAGGAGCCATCCAGGCTGAGAGATCAGCATGAACAAAAACACTTTGGCAAAAGGAACAAAAGAAGGACGATACAGGTCAGAGTGCCCATCACAGAGGAAGACCATCTGAGCCCAGGGCAAAAGTGGTAGCAGGTGAGGCTGGACAGATTATGAAAGACCAACCACTCACTCACGGCTGACTTTGAACAAGTCACCTTATCTCCTCAAGCCTCACTTAGCTCATCTGTAAAATGGAAATACAAATAGTGCCCACCGCATAAGGGTTTTCAGAGGGTTGAGTATGTCAATATTTGTAAGCCACAGAAAACTGTTGTGTACTTGGTAGGCACTACAAATGCTTCAAGACAACTTTATCTGAAGTACAGAGAGAAGACGTGATCTGGTTTGAATGTAGGTGACAGAGTGAGTGCTTAGTGGGTGGGAGGCTGGATGGATGCATGGATGGGTGACGTTGGTTGAGTGAGTGGAAGTGTGATGGGTTGCTGAAGGACAGTTGGGCCATAGAGGTGGTTAGATGGATGAGAGATGGGTGGGTAGTTGAATGATTGGGTGGGTGGGAGTGTGGGTGGGTGATGGAGATGGTTGGATGTGTGGATATGTGGTCGGATGTTAGGATTGGTGGTTAGGCAGTTGAGTGAACAGATGTTTGAATGGGTGTCTGTGTAGTTGGATGGATGGGTAATGAATGAGTGGGTGGGTAAAAGATGGAAAGTCGGATGGGAGAATGCGTAAAATGGCTGGGTGGGTGGGTGGTTGTTCCGGTGGGTATTAAAGAAGCTAGATGAATACTGGGGTTGGATGGACATCTGTGTGTTCCAGTGGATGGATGGGTAACTGGATTTTACAGAAAGTGGGGGGTTGGGAGTGGATTTGGATGATGGAGTGGAGAGATGGCTATCAAGTGAGTATTAGAAAGGTTGAGTGAATGGAAGGTTTAAATCAATGAAGGGGATGGGTCACTTTGGCAGAAACAGTAGATGAATGAGAGGATGAATGGATGGGCAAGTGGGCGGACAGATGGGCAACTGGATGAGTGTATGGAAAAATGGATGGGCGGATGGAGGATGGATGGGAAAGTGGCTGGCTGGCTGGGTGGTTACACCAGTGGATGGATGAACAATGGTTGAAGAGGTGACGTCAGCTTCAGCAGTGCCTCAGATCAAGCCCCTAAAGGCCGTGAGGGAACCCGGGGAAGGTAAAAAGCCGCAGGAACAGGCGTGGAGGCAGGGCCCCTCCCAGCTGAGGCCCCCATCCCGCCGCTCCGCCCGCGGTCCTACCTGGAGACGGCGATCTCCGCCTTCTGGCGCGCGATGGCGGCCGCGCGCTGGGCACCCTCCACGCTGTGCTCCACCTTCTGCCGGACCTTGTTGCTCTTGAGCGGCAGCACGCGGCGCTTGGTGCCCTTGACCAGCACGTTGTGGCGGTACTTGCCCTCCTCGCGGTGACCGTCGGGCAGCGTGGTGCAGCCGTAGCCGTGGCGCAGGTTGTCCAGCCACTCGCCCTCGTAGCGGAGGCCGCTGGAGCGCTCGCTCACGCCGAAGCCCGAGCGCTTGTCGTTCTTCCACTCGCCCATGTAGGTCTCGGTGGTGGTGGCGTCGATGTCGGCCTCGAAGGGCGCCGCGTCGTCCGCGCCCTCGGCGCCCTCGCCCAGGCTGGCGGTGGAGGCGGCGTCGCTGGCGCCCGAGCTCAGGTCGCTCTTGAGGAAGCTGACGCGGCTGCGCTGGCTGCCCACGGACGTGCGGGACTCGGCCCGCCTCAGCTTGCCCAGCAGCGCGCCGCGCGGGAAGAGGCCGCCGCCCTTGGGCGCCCGCGCCGCCTCGGCATTGGCCAGCAGGCTGAGCGCGAAGCCGCCGCGCGGGATGGCGGGCGAGGGCAGCGCGGGGCCGTCGGCGGCCGGCGACGCGGGCGAGTCGGGGGCCACCGTGCCGTTGCTGTGCTCGCTGCGCAGGGACGACAGCGACGTGCGCAGCGGCGAGCGCACCACCACGGCCATCCCGTAGGGCACGCTCTGGCGCACGCCGTAGCCGTGGCGCATGCCGTTGGTGAACTGGCCTTGGTACGTGCCTGCGGGCGAGGAGAGGGGCGTCAGGGGGTGGAACCCGGCCCCCACGCGGGCGCCGGGGCACGGGAGGGCAAGGCCGGGCGGGCCTGGAAGAGGGGCAGGGTGCGAGTGTGCAGGGCCACGACGGGGCGAGCCAGGACCCCGCCATGTGGAACTCCCCATTGGTGGACACGCGCTAAGGTCACAAGTGTGGAGAGAGGGTGCGGTGTGTGTGGGCATCGGTGTGTGAAGTTGTGCGCAGGTGGGGCCTGGGGATGTGGGAAGTTGAATGAGTGCGAGGACACGCGTGGACAAGGCGGGAGGATTTTGCATGATGAGGTGAGCATTTCCGTTGGTGTGCGAGATAGGTTGCAGCCGTGTGAAGTGACATGAGCAGTGAGCCCTGAGTGTGGGTTTACATGAGTGTGCACAGATCTTGGCTCGCATAAGAGAATGGGCAAGACTGCGAGGGTGTGCAACAGTGTGACTGCATTTGTGGGAGTGTGCAAAACAGAGTGTGCACAGAGGCCGGCCAAGTCACGTGAGCGAGACATGGTGGCGTGTAAACTCAGGTGTGAGAGATGTGAGGTCTTGAGTGTGCCAGGAAAGGTGGCATTGAGTGAGGGTGCAAGACCATTAGCAGGTCACGGAGTGCAAAGCTGTGTGGGCAGGCCAGGCCCTGCCAGTACACGAGGTGACAGGCAGGTGCACCCTATCCTAGTGTCCAGGGTGATGTGGGTGTTGAAGGTCATGAGCGGGGAAGGGTGAGCCTGCACAGTAACGTGGATGTTGGGGAGCGTGAGGCTGCGAGAGGGCATTTGTGCGACGTTATTTGTCCCAGAGACGTGTGGGTAAGCACGGCCGTGTCTTTTGAGTGTATACGATCGTAAGTGTGCAGGGCCCGAGGTCCCCGGGAGGTGACACCACGGGTGTGTAGGCTCTGAGTGTGTAAGCCCATTCGAGTGTCAAAGCACAGAGCAATCCGAGGTGCTGGAGGCTGGGTGGGTGTGCGAGGCTGTGTGAGACCGTACGCATGCAGAATGGTGGCGTGCCCAGGGGGCGTCAGCAGCCAGGGTGTGCGCAGTGCGTGAGCTCCTGGGAAGGAGTTTGCGGAGGTGGCTGTGTAATTCCTGTGCAACTGCAGAGGCAGCAGAGGGCACAGGTGGGGAGCAGACTCCAAACCCTGCCTCTGCTCTTACTAGCTGTGTGACCTTGGGCAACCGACTTAACCTCTCTGGGCCTCATCTGTCAAACATACAGCAATTGACTCTTACCTCATTGTGATAAGGTTTTAATGAGTTAATGTGCCTGAAAAGCTGGAAGAAAATACATATGAGGTCTGTGATTGTACAAAGTCGTGCTGCTGGGTGAGCTGCAGGAGCAAGCTGATACAAAACCTGCCCACAGCCCCATCCTTCATCCTCCTCCTGTCACATGCTGCTCCCCAGGGCGCCACCCAAACCTTCTCCCGTTCTCCCTGATTGCATCATTCATGTTTCAGAACTGCTGTGTCCTGTATCCTGCTGACTCCCCGAGGTCCAGCCCCTGCCCCTGGCCTCCCCTCTGCCCCAGGCGTCAGCGGGCAGACAGATGCCACCTCGAGACTAACCCAGCCCCCTCCGGCTCCTCCACTCCCCTGGCCCACACACCTCCGTGCCTCCTTCTGGGTCTTTGTGCCCCACAAGAGCGCCTCCATCCCTACCGTCAGGAGGTGGACGGTCCCTGACACGTCACCCTCGCAGAGCTGGAGGCAGACATGCAAAGCCTCGACTGTCCCCCACGATGATCCATCCCCTGGTTCACAGACATCAAACGGCCTCTTTCCCTACTCGTGCCCTTGTGGGGACACTGGGGAGCCCAATCAGCCAGCCAGGAAGGGACGTCTAAGCTCAAGCCGGAAGGAGAACTCTCACCCGGCTATCACACTGGCTGTTCCCGCTGCCTGTGCCTCAGGAGACCCGCCCTGAGACCCCACCTTGAATTGCAATCCGCCTGCACCCCGCACCCTGGTCTCCTTTCATGTGTTCCCTGTGGCATTTCTCTCCTCCTGCACGCCAGCTTTTTCCCCCTGAGAAAATGGGTCTCTTCTGTTTGGCTCTAGGATGCATCCCCAGAACCTGGCGCCCAGAGCTGCTCCATTAACACCTGCTGCATGACTGACTGGCTGAGCCTGATCAGAAACTCCACCTCCTGGGCAACTCCCCTCCCCTCGTCCAGCCGCCACCTGTCAGACGTGTTGGGTGTGGAGCACTGAGATGCTGGCTTCTAGGAATCAGGGCACTGGGGCTCCGGAGGTGGAGGGTGCCACATCCAGATGTCTCCACATGGCCTGGTCCCCTCCCAGCTCAGACTGCTCCAGCTCAGGGTCCCACTTCCTTCCCTAAGAGCCCCCACTAAGCAGCATGTACAGTGTCCTGGTAGGCAGGTCCATGGCGACGCTCACGTCCAGGAGAGGAAGCTGTGGTCTGAGAGGTTAAACGACTTGACCAAGGAAGCAGGATCTAGACCCAGGCCAACCGAGGCCAAAGCTCATGGTCTGAGCCTGTGTTCTTGGTCCTGGCACACTTTTGAAGTGCCAGGGAAACCTTAAAAAAAACTGACCCTGGCTCTCACCACCAGAAACCCTAGTCTGATCTGGTGGGAGAGTTCCAGCTCTCTGTCCTGTAGCCAGGATAGCCAGAGGTGAGGGAGGCATCAGAGCTCACCTCCTTCAGTGGCAAGCCACAGAAAACCAGTGAGCGTGGACACTCAGCTGTGAATGGGCCAAAGGGAAGTGAAGAGAGACAGAGAGAGGAGGGCACCGGGCATGATCTTGAGGGGAGGATAGAGCCTCCATTTCATAGGTGGACTGGTGCTCAGAGGAGGTATGGGTCTTGCCCAAAGACACAATGAGGAAGGAGCAGGACTGGGGCTTGAGCTAAGGCCCATCTCCAGCTAGGAAGCGAGAAAATGAGATTGCGAGGCAAGTGCAGCAAATGGATGAGACTATGGCACACAAGATGAACATGGGGAGATGGACAGGTGGAAGCGACTGGCTGCCATTTTCCAAGCTCATTCACGTGTGATCACCTTGGATCAGGCAGGAGGCAGAACGGAATGGGGAGCCAACCTGCTTTCAATATCACCTAAGCTGTGGGGTCCTGGACAAGTTCCTTCTTCTGATTCTCATTTCTTCATCCAGAAAACAGAAAAATGACACCCACACCAGGGTTCAAAAGTGAGACAACACAAAATGGAAACAACCCACTGTCCATCAACAGATGCATGGGTAAACGTACTGTAGGACAGCCCCACACACTGTAAGAGAGCTTCACATACTGTAGGATAGCCACACACTGTAAGACAGTCACACACATATGGTAGGACAGCCACACATGCTATAGGGCAGCCATGCATGGTGTAGGACAGTCATACACACTGTAGGAAAGCCACATACCATAAGACAGTCACACACATTATAGGACAGCCATGCATGGTATAGGACAGTCACACATGCTGTAGGACAGTCACACACTGTAAGACAGTTACACACACACTGTAGGACAGCCATGCATGGTGTAGGACAGTCACACGCACTGTAGGACAGCCTGATGCTGTAGGATAACCACACATACTGTAGGACAGTTGCACACACCCTGTAGGACAGCCTCATGTGCTGTAGGACAGCAATGCATGGTGTAGGACAGTTATACACACTGTAGGATAGTCACACACACTGTAAGACAGCCCCACACACAATGTGAGACAGTCACACACACACTGTAGGACAGCCGCACACTGTAGGATAGTCACACACACACTGCAGGACAGCCCCACACACAATGTGAGACAGTCACACACACACACTGTAGGATAGCCGCACACTGTAGGACAGCTGCACACTGTAGGACAGCCCCACACACAATGTGAGACAGTCACACACACACACACACACACACACACACACTGTAGGACAGCCGCACACTGTAGGATAGTCACACAGACTGTAGGACAGCCACACACTGTAGGACAGTCACACACACTGTAGGACAGCCCCACACACAATGTGAGACAGTCACACACACACTGTAGGACAGCTGCACACTGTAGGATAGTCACACACACACTGTAGGACAGCCCCACACACAATGTGAGACAGTCACACACACACTGTAGGATAGCCGCACACTGTAGGACAGCTGCACACTGTAGGACAGCCACACACGCTGCAGGACACCTGCACAGGGCTCTGTCAGCCAGCAGTAACAGGGAACACATGACCATACATACAACCACATGCAGACATCTCAAGAACATGCCAAGTGAATGATGTCAGAGACAAGAGAAGTAAACTACAATTCCAGTCATGTGAAAGTCTAGAAAAACTCAGTCTGTGATAGCCCGGGGAGTGGGACGGAGGCAGAACTGGGGAGGGGGACAAGGAGACTCTGAGTGACGGAAATGTTCTGTATCTTGATGCTGCTGGTGGTTGACACAGGTGTACTCATTTGTCAGGACCACCCACTTGAAATGCATTTTAGCCTCGGGGTTAAGCCACGGGTCGGATGCCTGCATCCCATATAATTCTTAGGTTCAGTGTCTGCCTCCAGCATCACGCTAATGCAGACCCTGGGAGGCAGCAGGTGGGCGACCTGGATGGAGTCCTGGCCCCAGCTTTAGCCCGGCCCGGTCCTGGCAGGCATTTGAGCTCTTTCTCTTTATCTCTGTCTTTCAAATGAATAGAAAATAAAACAAAATATATTTTATTGTATGGAAATTATACCTTAATAAAGTTGTTGTTTAAATTTAAACAAATTCTTTGTAAATAAACATTTAAGGAAAAATAAAACACCCAGCATGGTGTTCTACAAATATTCCTGAAGAAATCTTTTCCAAATGGATCCAGAACCCAGCTGTTCTCAGCATCTCCCAGCCCTTCGACCCAGGGTGGTCTGAGCCACTGTGTCTCGCACCTGGGTGTTCACAACAGCTGCCACACGGGCTCCTGCGTCTGTCGCCAGCACAGCAGTCGGTGGGGTTCTGT